CTGAGTCGACGGACTCCGCTCTTGGCTCTTCCTCAATGCGCGCATCAACTAGGTTGGCACTGTTCTCGCCGACTTTGTTTGCCTTGTTCCATACCGATCCCCACGCGCATCCGACGCCTGAAGTTGTCGGGAACTTCACCTTCTGGTGGCAAGTGGATGCTATCGCGCGGAACATGGACATGAATGGGCGCCCGAGGATCCCGTTGTGCGGCGACGGGCAATCGACGATGGTGAACTCCACGGCCTTATGCTCACGTGGCTCATGGTCGCCTATGATGACACGCAGGGAGACCGTCCCTATTACAACCACACTCTCGCCCGAAAAGCCTACCAGACTTCCCCTTGAATGTTTGATCGTCTTCGGATCGATGTCCATCTTATCGAGCGTGTTTTTGAACAGGATGTCAGCGGCGCTACCCCCATCCACCAACAGGCGATGTGTCTTGCATGAAGCGATTAGGGCCGTGATGGTGAGCGGTTCTTCGGACGGCTTTCCTCTTGGATATTCGGAGTCGGCGAACTCCAATCGCTCGCCAGTGTGGCTAGCCGATGCGCATTCATTGGCGCGCTATCTTTTGGTCTTCTTTTTTGGCGAACTTTCGACCGTGACCACGCCGATCTCCTTGCGCACTATGTACCGCCCGTCATCTTCGTAACTAGTGTTAGGAGGTGGCGGGGGGGTTTTCTCCATTCTCTCGTCGTTCCCCGGGCCGACGATGCAATGGGCCAGGTGTCCCCTCCTTATGAGCGCTTCGATTTCCACCTTTAACTGGTAGCAATCCTCTGTCATGTGCCCCGTTTCGCGATGGAAGTCGCAAAATTTCTTGTGGTTCCGCATGTTTTCAGGCACCTTCTGTGGCGCGGGCCAGTTGACCCTGTACCCTTTCTCTCGGATTACGAGGAACACGTTCTTGACCGTGTCGTTCAGAGGAGTGAACGTGTTCATCTGTCGCCGATCAGGGGATCGGCGTCGCGGTAGGCGGTCTTGTTGGGCGCCCCTCGGCTGCGTTATTCCGCCGCCGTGGTACGCCGCTGGGGGTGGGTTATGCCGTATTTGGTCCTCTCTTGGGCCTCTAGAAGGCTCGAATCTCTGCACGGATCCCGCCCCCAACGTCTCTTCCAGTGTGATTGCCTTCTCTACTTTCGATTCTAGATCCGATGTTGAGATCACGGGCCTCTTCGCTAGAGCGCGCCTCAGCTCGCTGTTGGTCATCACGTCCATTAGGTGCTGCGCGGCGGTTTCCGGCTTGAGGTCGCGCACTGCCATGGCCACCCTCGACCACCGTGTGTAAAACACCCTTAAGCATTCCCCTTCTTTCTGCTTGAGGTCTACGAGTGCTTTGGGGTGGAGCGGTCGCCTTTTCTGCGACGCGAATTTGGTGGTGAACAGGCGGATGAACTCCTCAAATGTTTCGATGATGCCACTTGGCAACCGATTGTACCAGTCGAGGCATAGGCCCGAAAAGGTGGATGGGAAAGTGCGGCACATCGCCGCGTTGGACCAATTTTGCAACTGCATTCTGAGGCAGAACGCGCTGACGTGGTCTTCTGGGTCCGTCGTTCCGTTGTACGTCGGGAGGGTGGGGGGTACTCCGTTGATTTGCTCCATCATGATGTCGTCGCAGAGGGGCTGTCCGATAGCAGGTTTCCGCGGCCGTCGCGCGTCGCCAGGCGCGCGATACAGGGGTGAGAGATGCTGCTCAAGGAAGTCTACATCGGCCCTTGGCCTGGGTTCTTGGTTCAGGGGAGCGGCACGCTCAGCTTCTCTTCTCACCGGAGTGGGGTCGGGTGCGTCGCCAGTCGCTGGTGCGTGCCCTCCGGTTATGAAGGATAGTATCTGGCTCATTTGTCCCTGTATCTCCATCACCGCTCGGTTATTGTACGCCATCTGCGCGCGCATTTCCTTCGCCGACATCTCCGGCTCTTCTTCTTCGATCAGTACCGTGTTGAAGTCACTGGTGGATTCGAAAACCCGCCTATCTGTCACGCTCTTTAGTGGAGTCGTCTCTTCTGCCGTCGGGTTCCGGTCTTCCTCCGCCGTTCTCATCGCTTGCTTCCCAGACATACTCACGCCCCACGGTGGGCGCCAATTGTTTATGTCTCGTTGGTGAGGTAGGAGGGAGACACTAAGTATAAGAGAGTGTGAGATATATGGGATGAGCAGCGTGCCAAACGGATTATCTTATTAATGTATGAGAGAGAATAGGTTACAGTGAGAGATTATAGAGAGAGAAAGTTAGAGAGATAATGGTCTGGTCCCTTTTGGTCGATCCCCTTCTCTCCGTCATAAAGGCTGTATTTATACCTTCGTCAGGGTAGGTGAGCCGTACAGGTGATGGGACATGCTGTCGGACGTCTTTCGTGCTACCCGCGTCGTGCGCGTGCGCGTGAAGGTATTCGCGCACAAGTCTTGGACGCGCCATGGCTTAGTCTCCAACCCCAACAAAAATCATCGCCCGTGTCGACATCTCCGCACACACCTCTTGCATGTACAACCCTCGTCGCCTCCTCCCTAGACTGTGTATGATTTAACAAAAAAAAAAAATCACGTATAGAAGCGCATAATTACTCTCTACCGTTAGATTTAACTAAAAAAATAATAAATCGTGAGTAGGGTGGTTAGTAGGTACCACTTAGAGCATCCACTTCAAACTATCATATTCAATTGCAAAGTGATATGGCAATGAAATTGCAATTGCATTTTCAAAAATTGTATTGATGGAAGCCTCAATTGCAACAATGCAAGCTACCATTTCTTGCAATCCCATTTGCAAATTCCATTTTGTTATGTATGGATAAAATAATAAATAACCTTTTATTTTATTAAAGTTGTGCCCGCATATGCGATTGCAAGTTGTTATTTTTATTTTCGAGTGATATCAAGAGAAGACAAGAGTTATACAAACAAAACTACCCAGAAACACCTTACAAACGACATCCTAATGAAGCCACCCAAAAAAGTTGAAAGACTCTTAACTCTAGGAGAGACAAAAGCAGTGCTTTACGCGCCACTCTATGGGGCAACATTGTTGGCGGCTCTAGAAACCACCATAACTCTATATAAACTGACAAAAAGTCTTGGATCTGACAACACTTCCGTAACACCGGACTTCCAATGGAATTTTCTAGTACACCTTGTCGAATCTGGTTGACGGCCACCTCGAAATCACCTTTCACTATCACATATGCAATAGCAAGTTAATTTCATTGATGTAGGTAAATGAAAATAATATGAGTTGAATTACATAAAAAATTAGATGACATTAAATAGCACAAATGCAATTGCCGTCAATTTATAGAACCGCCATCACCCATCAGTACCACAGAGCTTTTTGAGGTTGTTGGGCTTCATCTGTAGGCCGCTGTCTTTGATTTTGGGCATTTAGCGCAGCCCATATAACCGAACGCGGGAGAATGGGAACAGATCCAATTGCCGGAGAGTTTAGCTGGGGCGGGGATTCGGTCGCGCCAAGCCTGGCATCGCCATCGAGTGGAGGATTAGGGTTTTTCTCCGTGCAGCAGCATATCATTTGTACTCCGCTCTATATAATCTCCATCCGCCGCAGTGCGAAATGCATTACTCGTTGGGAGAAGCCCCGATTCGCAGGCAGCTCCTCTGTTCCTTACGATTAAGTTTTCTTGTATGGTTCTCTTCTTTTCGTCGTCGTCTTGGTTACTCTGGATCAATGGCCGGTGATGCGTTTTAGCTTTTGTCCGTACCATCTGAGAAGAGAAATCTTCGTTCATGATGTTTCGTAGCTTCTGAGGCCGTTTTTTTAATTTCCTTACATTTGATTTCGTTTTCAAATCATGCCGTTTCCCTTTATTCATCTGGAACATTATCTAATGATTGTTTGAAAGAAAGGGCAGTGATGACTGAGATTTTACCATCAAACTTTGAGGGCTCGGTCATAAATCTTGAGCTTGTTGATGCAAATATAATTTCTATATGCTGAGCCTTGCTAAAAATTTAATTCTTGCTTTCGATGCTGTTTTGTTTCATGAAATATTCATCGGTATTCGGCAACAATTTAGAGTCTCTGGACTACTTTCAATTCGTAGTAATTCAGTGCTGTACGTTGCCAATAGGAATAATGGATGCCTAGATTCTGGCAGATTGCAAATGTTTTTTCGGGCTTTCTGCATTCAGATGGCTCCTACATTTCTCAAATGACTTGTTTTCTTTCTTTTGTTAATCTTTCATCCTCAATTGTTTGAGCTTTCGTGTGGGGAGCAAGGTAGGCGACAAATTAGAGTCTCTGATGCGCTTATTCTCAGTAGTGCATTAGTGCTGTACGTTGCCGATATTGAAATTGTAGCTGAGATTCTGTCATGGGCTCCTTTATTAATGGTGGTTATGCATTCAGATGCTCTCACATTCCATTCCGTATTTGTCTATTTTTTGCTAGGTCTGAAGTCTTATCATGCCTGATCGATCTGTGAGCTGATAACCGATTTGTAAGTTACTGGAATTCAGGATAGTGGTCCGCTAACGATGCTGTTGGGGTTGCATCGTCTTCAGTTTTTTGGCACATTCCTTATAAGTTTTAGGCCGTGGAGGCTTGCTGCTTAAGCTCTTGAGGGGCTGGAATTTCTCTGTAATGTTGATTATTGCAAAGATGAAAGCACATTTGACCCTTGCTTCTGTGATTCGGATCAAATATCCCAGCTCACCGAGGCCGTTCCCCCAGGATAGATTTGGCTGATACTCCTTTGCGTATGAGGATGCCTGCTGTCTCCAATGAAAATGGAATATCCCCTTGGTAGAGTATATAATTAGCAAATTCCCTTCTTTGTGCCCTTGTAGCAATCAATGTTATGTATATGTTGCTATTCATGAAATGAAACTTCCTATTGATAGTTGTGCTTTACTGCGTGAAAAACTGAAAATAGTTCTATTGCGCTTATCAGTTGTCACAATGAATGATAAATAGTGTCTTGCGGAGAGGAACCATGTAATGGTTAGGTCTGACGTGGCGTGGGCTTGTTTTGGCTTCTTGATCTAAGAAGATGTGGTCTTGAATGGACGAAAGAAAAGTCAGAGAACGCCAAAAAGGTGCGGTGGTGCTGGCCATCTTGTAGACCAGTCATTCGATCGTTTTAATTGCCAGAAGAGCCGACTCCGCACCACCATTTGTTAGCCTTTCTTTGCTTGCTGCCGCCATTCGCATCGTATCCCTCCAAACTCCATTATTCTCCATCATTTCTCGTCCGCCAAGTAGGTGATGTCCAATGGCATTTCTACTCCCCAATTTCTCGGCCCCTCTCCTTACTGCCAATAACAATCCCAAGGAGAAGCCATCAACCAGCTTTCAACTCCAGTCTTCCACCGGCTATCTGCCGTCCTTCGCTGCCACCGCCACCGCAGCGGCTGGTTCCAGTGCATCTCCTTCGCCTCCCCTGCTTAACAGCTCGCCTCCTCCCACCACCAATCTCAACCACCGCAATAATGATTTCTACGTCAACTTGGGATTGGCCGTCCGGACTCTGCGAGAGGACATGCCTACCCTCTTCGTCAGAGACCTCAACTACGATATCTACAGGTTCATATGAATTCTTCTCTCTCTCCCAGTCCCTCCCCCTTTGCCATTCGGCCATTCCAGCCTCTGAAACAACAACCATAAAATAGTGTTAGTCTTTGAGGTCAATCCTTTCCTTCTCTTCAATGTTTTTATTTGAAAATTGGCAGGGACGATATAACGTTTCGCGACCCAGCCAACGTTTTCACGGGAATCAGCAACTACAAGCTGCTATTCTGGGCGCTGAGGTTCCACGGCAAGCTTCTGTTCAAGGACATAGCTGTGGAGGTGTACAGGATTTGGCAGCCTTCGGATAATGTGATATTGATACGGTGGAATGCGAAGGGGAACCCTCGGGTTCCATGGGAGGCCAAGGGTGAATTCCAGGGGACTTCTACCTACAAATTGGACAAGAATGGCAAGATTTACGAGCACAAGGTTGATAACTTGGCGTTTAACTTCCCACAATCGCTCAAGTCCGCTGGTGTTTCCATTGCCGATTTGGTTGCTGCTTGTCCTGCTCGGGTCAACCCGACCTTCTTGTTGTGGCAGGCCCAGGCCGAGGACGATGTCCCTGATTCTGCCTGCTCGTGGCTGGAGTTCTACGACGCAGTCAGAGGGACGGTTGTGCGGGAAGGCTATGATGCTCTGCTCACTTGAAAGACCCCGATTACTTACAGGCTGGCTTGTAAAGGACAGAAAGCAAGACAGTTTTTGGGTAAATTAGCAATACCAATGCAGTTGGCTACTGTAATGACTGAATGATGTGCATGGAACAACGGCAGAGGTTTGGCTGCCGCTGTGTACATAATATTAACGTAGTAAGGATGGCAGATAAGTTTAGAGGGAGAGCCTTATTTGGTAGGAGCTCTCATCATATGCCTAGGGATATATTCGACGTATTTGTTCCTATACCATTACCAATTTACCATAGATGATGTATCATACTACACTTAGACTATCCATCGTCCTAGACGAATTTGCATTGGTTAAAGGGAAATCATGGTGGATGCATGTAGCTCGCTGTCGTTGTCACGCTTGATATAAACGTTCTAGGCTTCTAGCACATACTCAATGTTTTCAGTTTTGAATCCACCAGTGTGTTTCAAGTTCTTTCATTCTTTGCTTCGGAACAGGGGAGCATTTCTTGCTAATGCAACTCTTTCTAGGTGCAGGTAATTCAAACCAACTCAATTATACCCATGTTTGCAACTAACAAGAAGGATTGACCTGAAAATCATAAGTGAATCAGAGTCCTTTCTGATTAAGTTGAGCATAAGCAACAAGCCATTCCTAACTTCCGTCACCCATGTTTGAATGAAAGGCAACAAGTACTGATACTCTCCTCTTCTCTCAGTCAACTCAACCACACACCCACAAGTGGTTGGGGTTGGGGATTTCCACTAATGTCACAATCCGACCACTTCTGTTAAGTCGTTTCACTTGGTCAATATTACATATCAGCAACTGGCATCTAGAAGGATAATAGCAACATATACAATCATTAATACTTGTCTATCAAACAAACAAAATCACCACTGCCAGACCAGAGAAGCCTGCAACCTATCTCAATCCTTCGCTCTGTAAAACCGTCATCGGATATGACCATGAGGAAGATACTTACGCATCCAGTAGGGGAGAGTTTGAACTTTGAAAGTCGAAGCATATCTAAGGGCTTTATAGCAGCACCACTATCCAGATCAGGACTCAGAAAATTGCCGTATGTTGGTAAAGAAACATCGGTTACTAACATGATCATTGATCTGCGTTTTGCAGTGCAAATGGGTGACCAAGTTTAGAGTAGATTCTGCAGGCACAAATCTCAGCAATTAGTCTGACCAATTTCAACTTCTTACCCAAGGATGCCTGTAACTCCTCATATTTCGATGCCAGCAATAGAGTAGTAAGACCAACTAGTTGCATTTCTCTCTTCTGGATTTGAACTTGTGATAGGTATTGGTGTAGCAATGTGGCCAACAGATTAAGTAAATGTTATTTTTCACAGAAGTTCTAAGCTCAAACTTATCTTTTGGACATGTTTTGACTCCAGAAATCGAGCAAGACTTACAATGCCATTAGACCTTCTCTTGCTCCATTGCTCTGTAGATGGCTCCGACCCTTTCTCACTTGGGTTACTACTTTCCTACTGAGTTTGGTCTTAACTGAAGTTAGTAGAATGCAAAGCAGCCACACCTCAGGAAACTTTGAACCACCATATTGTACTTGCAATTGCAAAAATGCTGATGCGTTGACTGACCCTTTCTGATTGTCCTACACCAAACAGTTAATGCTCTTCATGTTTCTCGTGCTCTGCAGTCATCAACAGTGGTAAGTCCCTGCTTCATGGAAAAAAGATGGTAGATAACAAATCAAAGTATGAATGGACTTTTGTATCATCACATCATCAGTGAATAATAAGCCATTATTTGTACCAAAACACTTAAACATCTGAAAGAGAACCATAGGGTGCTGACCATATGAATATAATTTTTTTTCGCTCTAATACCTGGTACTATTGCTGACAGTTACCTGGTTTGGAATTTTAGCCTTGTTGCTGGCATCATTTGAAGAGGTTCCCGATTCATTAAACACCTAACACATCCAAATCCATTGTCATCCTAACGGCGAACTCTTCTCCTCGCATTATGAAGGAAGGATAAAGGGATGCAAGGGCAGTCAATGGGGTGCATATTTATATACGGTTGTATTGTATATATGGATTGTTTGCATTTTGCAGGGTCTAAAATATTATCATGCTCAAACTGAAGCATTTACCACTTTTATCACAGCGACTGCTGTCCTAGCAATGCACAGTATTTGTTCACCGAGGCCTCCACTGGCAACTTCTCCACCATCCAACTACATAATAAACAGATACTGTATAACTATGAAGACCAAAATCCTCCCATCTATATAAGTGATGAAGTAAGGGAAATACACAAGGGAAAAGAGACACAGAAGTGAATGTATCTCCCACGGGCTCAGCACACGAGAAATAAAGAGAAGGAAAAGGAGCAAAACAGTAAGGTGGTGAAACAAACAGGCCACCCCTAAAACCAAAAATACATTTCATTCAGTTAAGCTCTACATGCTGTAACCCAATATATGTCTAGTAATACACACCTTTTTACTAGGAGGCCGTTGAAGTGAATGTGTGATATCAGCTACCTGTGTGAAGAACCTCTTCACAACAGTGATGAGTTATTCCAATGGCAAGTTGACAACATATAGTTTGAATAAAATAACAAAATGTTAGAGCTAGATTGACTTAGAACAGGGCAATTAGCTTCTCTCATCCATTCAAGATTGCATGGATCGACGATCAAGTCATCTGCAAATAAATGAAAATTTTAAGAGTCAGGACATCTAATTGAAAAGAGCCCAAATCATCATTCATGATTTGCTTAAGTTCTATTGCATCATTTCGTCACAAGTTTAAGTTAACTAATGCTGTGAAGTTTCCAGATAGCGTATATTCTCAAATATAATCAACCCTGCAGTACTAAAAGCGTTTAATAAGTTTCCAGATAGTTTAATAATGATTCGTTCTAAGATCCAGAATTCTTTATGCTGGAAGCAGTAAGAACCGTCTCATTTTCCCCCTTTGTTTGAAGTCTCTCATACTGAACGTATAACACGTTTAATATCATTATTATTCCTCAATGAATCAAATTGATAATTAAACAACAATAATCGAGTTCATGTTTATGGTTTGTTGGACTTGAGAATAGGGTGAGGGTAATCAGTTTGATGCTCTATTTAATGAAGTAAAAAAAAATGAACTAGCAAGAGGATTACTAAATGGATTATTGGAAACAAAATGGTAAAGAGTAAAGACACAAAAACACAATGATACAGTTCACTATTAAAAATGTTTGTATTTACCAAATGACTTGTCTTGATGGTTTGCCGTCACAGGGGCTCCTTTCATCGGTCGTTTCCTAGGATTCAAAGGAAAAGGTTTAGGGTTAAAAAGCAAATAAAAATTAAAGAATGTATCCATGAGGATAGAAATCCTGTATTAGAGAGAAGACCTGGGTTGAGTAGAAAGCAAGCAAAAGGAAGGGAGAAGAAGAAAGGAGCAGATGGGAAACAAGCACTTTTGATGCAAGCTGTGTCTTTTTTGCCAGGATGAAGTAAGCATATATGCTCACTCACCTCATCGGCCCTTCTCCTTCTTTCTCATTATTATTTCCAAACAAGACCACATTTTGGTTATTGGATAATTGTTTTCATTATTTGCTTTATTAGACTTAAAGAGTGAGGGAACAAAACGAGACTTGCTGTAGACAATTACAAGGCCATCATCAATATCCCGTGGGGGTGGGGTGTTTTTTCTTGAGGCACACACATCGACTAACAAGCAAAAGTGAAGAGTATATGTGTAGGCAGCCAAAGTGAAGCTACCTGCAGTTGGTATGGCTATGCTGCCGCTCACAGAATCTATCTTTATGCATACCAGTTGTCCTCTCCACTGCATCAATTGCTTCCTTCAATCACCATCTGTATGCGTTTTACTTGTCCACGACTACATACATACATACATATATAGCTCAAAGCGATTAAACATAGAACCCTCCAAGTAATGCTAACTGTGAATTGCGCTTCCACCCCACAGATATAAGCCTATATCTTGACTTGAAATTCACGAAGCAATCCAAGCACATTTTCTTACTGAATGCTAGCTATAAGCCAGATGAGGAGAAGTAGCAGCTCACATCAACGGCCCATTGCCTTTCTTCCTCTCTTGCTTGTGTATTTTGCCTTGGCTTCTTCTTCATTTGTCCCAGGCTGCAGTAAGTTGGTTCCTCACAACTCTCTAACTGCATTTCTGCTTGTAAGTTGTAATCTGCACTAATCCGTCACTTCTTTAGCTCCAAGATAAGCAAGCCAGTGACCAAATAACTCGCTTTCAGAATTAATAATGATGAATTAGTCCTCATCCTATCATCTACTGTGACTTTGACAATTTCTTGATGCAAATATGTGCTCTTGCTTGCACGACTCACCAACTCGATGGTTGATTGAAATGGCGCAGATGGAAGGAGATCGCTGGGGTTAACGGTAGGCAAGGGGAATAAACTGAGAGCCACCGGCCGTTTCGACATTGCTTCCCTGATCCTCCAGAGAGAAACGCTGGGCGATGGAGCATCCAACACGCAGCCGTACGTCAGCTCCCCTTTCTCACTGCCGCCGTACGATTCATTGTCCCCTCAGAATGCTCCCCCTTACTGCAACGAACCTCCACAAGGAGGCCTACCTCAGCCTCAGCCTCAGCCTCAGCCACCGCCACCGTCAGGCACCGATACCGGCATTCCCACACCTTCCGCTCCCACCTTCCTCCTCCCACCGCCGACCGGCATCCCCACCCCCGCCTTCCTCCTCCCGCCGCCAGCTCCCCCTGGTCCTTCCTCCTACTACTTTCCCCCGGGCCCACTTGTCCCGATTCTTCCTGGCCCATCTACTCCAGGAATAGCCACTCCAGGCCCACCCACTTACACCATTCCTGGGCCATATCCGCCTGAGGCCCAAATACCCCCTGCCCCTCCTACATTTGATGTACCGAGCCCGCCCGTGGCTTTCATGCCGCCGGTGGTTTTCCCGCCGCCGACTGGTCCGCCGTCTCCAAGGACGGGGCCTCCGGCAGCGCTGTGGTGCATGGCGAAGCCATCGGTGCCCGATCCGATCATGCAGGAGGCGATGAACTACGCATGCGGGTCCGGTGCCGACTGTGATTCGATACAGCCTGGCGGGCCGTGCTCTCAGCCGGACACAGTGTTTGCCCACGCTTCCTACGCTTTCAACAGCTACTGGCAGCGAACCAAGTCAGCTGGCGGTTCTTGCTCTTTCGGCGGCACTGCCATCCTCGTCACGGTAGATCCTAGTGAGTCCTCTATTTACCAATGCTCCTTGTCCAGTTCTAGAATGAAATCTAGTGATTGATTAACAAGTAATGTGATGGTTTCTATTCGATTAACCTTTTTCAGGCTACAAAGGTTGCCAATTTGCATACAACTGACGCGTGGATAGCTAATTAAGGCGGGTGGCGATGAATTATTGCTGGGATTAGATGACATATAGAAAAGTGAATTTTACATAAATTATTATGAGAATAAAGGAGGAGGCGAAGAGAGGGATTATTAATAGTGGGTTAATTGTTAGATTCAGACATTCAATGATAAATCACATTTTATAGGTTGGGCTTTAAATCCTCCCATGTGTGATTCATGAATTTTTGTAAACAGTTGAAACTTGAATGTGGAAAATAATTATTACTTTTTTTTTTTTTTTGAGAAACATGATACTAGTATCATTCGCAGCACCCAAAATCTGGGGAAGAGAAACGAGCGCTCCGATTTTCTAGGGTGGCGATTCCGCGAGTACTCTCGGTACCTAGGGTTTTGCAACCTCATGTCGGCGGGATCCCCGCCGGCGGGAGGAGGACCGGGGCCGTCCTCTCAACCTGAAACTAGCGCGGGCCAACGACGCCCTCCGACAGAGTCGTCTTCCCCGAACCCTAAAGGGGACCGAGAGGCGCAACATGCTAAGAAGAAAGTGAAGCAATCATATACGTCGCCGATAGTTGAGGAGGTCCGGGATGAAACTCTCTCGGACGCAGAGGCCGATTTCAGCCCCACACCACCAGCTCGACCAGCAGCATGGACACAGTCCATGGGAGCAGCCAGGAAACTGTTCGGCGAAACGAAACGCATAGACGAGTGGTACGTAGCGGATTCGAATTCAGAAGACATAGCTGCCGCCATGAGGGAGGATGGGCAGGAGGCCCCGTTCGAGGCAGAAGAGGACCCAAAATGTCCACCAATCCCTTTCTCTGCTGCAGAGGAAAGGACCTTCTGCCGAGACCTTCGATCGGCACTAGTGGTGAAGGCTTTGGGGCGAGCAGTCTCATACACTGCAATGTCTATCAGGCTAAACGCGATATGGGCGAAAGCGGGAGGCATCCAGGTCACCTCAATGAAAAATGGTTACTTCCTAATTCGATTTACAAACGGACTGGACTATGAACGTGCGATCATGGGAGGGCCATGGATGATAGGCCAGAACTATCTTACTGTGCACATGTGGGACAAGTACTTCGATCCTTACAATCATGAAATTGCATCTACAGTGGTTTGGGCGCGCCTGTTGGAACTTCCTATCCACTTCTTCCACCAAGATGCTGTGATGAAGATAGGGCGAAGGATGGGTAAGCCTATCCACATAGATGGGGCCACCCGCACGAAGGCACGTAGCGACTATGCCCGAGTATGCGTTCAAGTTGATCTCACTCAACCTCTCTTATCCCAGTTTACGATACACGGGAAAAAGTACTTCATTCAGTACGAGGGACTGGAGAGAATCTGTCTTAACTGTGGAACATATTCCGAACGTGGTTACTGCCCATGCACGAAAACACATGTGCCCATGGAGGCGGAACAACCTGCCGAAGAGATGATACAAGAGAAGAAGCAACCGGACACTCTCTATGGAGAGTGGATGCTCGCGAAACGCAAGCCAAGACAATCCCGGAAAGAGCCTATGCAATCCAATAAGGGGGAAACCAACGTGCCCCATGGCCAAAAAACCCATGCAAGCGGTTCCCGCTTCGACGTCCTACATGAAGAGGAGGAACGTGACCTGCACCCCATACCCAGCCAGCATACGGAAGTAACTACTAATGTGGACATTAACAAGGAGAGTAACGACAGGGAAACTATTGGGAGCTCAAAGGGAAATAAGGGCAAGGGGTCAAATCCGACCCCGTCTACAGAGAAAAGGGGAACACCGACACAAATCTCCTCACTGCCACCGAGCGAGACTCAGAGAACCTGACCAACGGGAGCCCGGACCGTGTTGAGCACCACGCCACCTGAGAGTGGGAATGACACCCATACTCTGGCTGGGCAGGCGCACAAAGTTGTCCAGAATCAAACCAGTTTGGCTGACAGTCAAGCCCCCAATGCCTCCCGGGTATTGGAGAAAGAGGTCAAAGGAAAACCACCGGACACAGCGCCGCCGTTACCGACGGTCAATCCGCAGCCTGGTCAACGTGACGGGAAGAACATCACGGAGACGATGATGATTGATGGGGTCAACCCATCGGAGAGTTAACCAAAGGGAGTCTCTTTCCACCCTAGTCTTTATGGATTGTAAAATCTTTTCTTGGAATTGTAGGGGAGCAGGGAGTAGAGGTTTCCTACGCGCTTTCCATGAATACCGTAGGAAATTTCGTCCAAATATTGTGATTATTGTTGAACCCCGCATTAGTGGGGCTCGTGTGGATGAGATCGTTCGCGATATGGGGTATGATAGTAAAATAGTAGTGGATGTGATTGGGTTCTCGGGAGGAATTTGGGTAGCTTGGAATGCGAGCGAGTATACCATCACCGAAATTCTTCCTCACCCGCAGTGTCTTCATGTGCAGGTCAAATCCTTAACCTCCCAAGTAGTCGACTGGCAGCTATCGGCAGTGTATGGAAACCCAGCCCCAGTTCAGCGAAGGGATCTCTGGAACGTTTTACGAAGCATTGCCGAGGACCTGGACACCCCCTGGTTGTTAGCGGGGGACTTCAACTCGATCCTCAGCCCATCGGAGAAATTAGGAGGAGCCAACTTTGACGCCTCTAGAATCAGAGAATTCCAGGATGCTGTGAACGATATTGGACTGCATGATTTGGGGTTTACAGGGCCGCATTTCACCTGGTTTCGGACAGGGCTCAGAGAAAGACTTGATAGGGGTATGGCTAATTCCCAGTGGTTGTCGGTCTTCCCCGAGACAACAGTAAGACATCTCCCCCGCCTGAAAAAATCAGACCACCGTCCCATCCTCATTACGCCTACGAACACAGCTCAGCCAGGAGGGGAGAAACCCTTCCGCGTCCTCGCTGCCTGGCTCACACATGAAAGCTTCTAGTCCATGACAGCCGATGCTTGGGAAAAAGGCTCATGCTTCACAGAATCGACAGCAGCGTTCGCTAGGGACGCGGCCGAGTGGAATCGCACTGTATTTGGTCACATCCTGAGGAAGAAAGATAAACTCCTCCATCGGCTTGAACAACGGGAACTTGCTCCTAGCAACCCACAAAATGCAAACCAGATCAACCAAGCTCAGGAGGAACTAGAGCTCATCCTCTTCCAGGAGGAAATGTTGTGGTACCAGAAGTCACGTATGGAGTGGATAAAGTCGGGGGACAAAAATACAGCCTACTTCCACGCCAGAACTATCAGACGTAGAAAGCGCAACCGGATAAATATGCTCAAGAATAGTGCAGGAGATTGGGTGGATGATCCAGCCACCCTCCTTGAGATGGCTAGAAACTATTTCCATGTGCTATACACAGACGATGGCGGGGAGCTTCCCACCTTGGAATCCCAGTTCCCTCAGATCGCCGAAGCTCGGTGGGTGGCCCTTACCGCCGCTCTCGACCCGCTGGAAATTCGACAGGCTGTTCAAGCGATGGGGGCGTTGAAATCGCCAGGTAAGGATGGGCTTAATTCCTTATTCTTTCAGCGATGTTGGGACACGGTGGGGGAGTCGTTAGTCCAGCTAGTTCAGGATTGTTGGGCCAACCCAGAGAAGGTCAAAGAAATCAATGCTACTGTGTTAGTCCTTATTCCGAAGATCCAACAGCCGGTTACCATTGATCAATTTCGGCCAATCAGCCTCTGTAACGTGGCTTAAAAGGCACTGACGAAGTGCCTAGCGGATAGGTTAAAACCTCTGATGCCGGATTTGGTTCATGAGACGCAAACCAGATTTGTTCCATGTAGACATATCACCGATAATATATGTATTTTGCAAGAGGTGGTACATTCTATGAGGGCGCGCAAGGGGCGAAGGGGATGGATGGTCCTCAAAGTCGACCTAGCTAAAGCCTACGACAGAATAAGATGGGGGTTTGTCAGAGATACGCTGGTGGCTGCTGGGGCTCCGGCCGACTTTGTCAACCTGACGATGGCATGCATCTCCTCCTTGCAAATGCACATTCAGTGGAACGGGGGATTGACCGAGGCGTTCCAACCGACCAGAGGGTTGCGACAGGGATGTCCCCTTTCTCCCTATCTTTTTTACTCTTTGCATGGAACGTCTAGGTCACCTGATTGATGACTCAGTGCGAGCGGGGCGGTGGCAGCCTATAAACCTGACCAATACAGGGCCTCGCTTGTCACACCTCTTTTTTGCAGATGATCTGATTTTATTCAGCGAAGCCAATGCCGACCAGGTGCAGGAGATCAGAAGTTACTTCGACATGTTTGGGGCTTCCTCGGGCCAGCAAGTCAGTAGACCCAAATCTAGGGTCTTCTTCTCGGCCAATGTGACCGCCGACCACCGTCGTAGCCTTTGTGAAGACCTGGGAATCCCGTAAACACCAAATTTAGGCCGCTACCTGGGGGGCCCAGTGATTCATGATCGAGTAGCCAAATCAACTTTCACGGAGCTGATCGACCGGATCGACACCCGCCTGGCAGGGTGGTCAGCTTCGTCGATGTCGATGGCGGCGCGAATCACGTTAGCTCAGTCGGTCCTAATGGCTCTCCCCTCCTATACGATGCAAACGACCTTTCTTCTGGCAAGTGTCAGGGATTATATTGATAAGAAGATCCGTGCTTTCGTCTGGGGGAGCTCGGATCAGGGACGTAAAATCCACTTGATGGACTGGGATACTATCTGCAGACCGAAAGAGGAGGGTGGCCTGGGTCTAAGAGGAGCGACGAGAATTAATGAGGCCTACATGCTGAAGATCCTGTGGAGACTCCTTACGAAGCCAAATGATCTGTGGGCGCGAGTAATCCAGGCAAAGTATTGCCGCCTGACAGAGGAAGGGATGCATTTCAAAACCTCGGGCCGGCTTTCTAACCTCTGGCGTGGTGTTCTGCGAGTCAGACACCTGATCGAGGATGCCACGGCGTGGAACATAAGGAATGGGCAGGTGGCCAGATTCTGGAGCGACCGGTGGCTCGATGATGCGACAACCCTCATAGACAGTGCCCCGAATCTACCCCAAGGGATGGAGGGGATGACTGTTTCAGAGTTTGTGTTGAATGGTGAGTGGAATGCTGATTTTTTACGTGCTTTCTTACCAGAGGAGGTTGTTTCGCAGGTACTCTTACACCCGGTGCCGCAGGAGGACGAACCTGACGTCCGAGTCTGGCGTCTATCTCAAAATGGAGCTTTCTCTTTTCGCACAGCCTACGAGCTCACGGACAGAAGGGAGAGCCCAATCCTGAACCAACCAATCTGGAGAACCATCTGGAAGACTC